CCTGGAGGGTTGCCGGACCCCCGGCCTGCACTGCCTCTTTGCGGGCCCTGCCACTCATGGCCACCTAGGGATGGGGTGAGCTCAGATTCCTGAGACCTGGCTTCTTAACTGGGCTCCGAGGACGCCGCTATCCACTCCCAGAAGGGACCGCTCCAAGGCTCACTTCCACTCCTTTTTCAACCGAGAGACCTAGATGCAGGGCCTAATCTTTCAAGTGAACGCTTCAGTCCCCCTCACCAAAGGGCCGTGGTGCCAGCCGCGCTCCGACCCTGCTGGCTCTAGGCTGCCTGGCTGGTTTAAGACCGCCCGCCCCTAACCAGAGCTTTAGCCCGGCCCCCTAAGTCCCAGCCCCACGTCCCCGCCCAGCCCGGCAATCCCGATCGGTATCCAAACTCCGCGCTCCCAAGAAGGTCCCTGAACTAGCCGGCCGGCACCACGCCCTGCTCCCCAAGAACTACCGCACCTCCCTCCACCGACCTAGTTACTCGCAGGACACCCCAGGAAGGTCCGGTCACCCGCGGTGGGGCTTTCGGTTTCGCTTTGGGTCGGACGCTCTCCCACTCCAGCGTGGCGCTAAGCCTGGGCCGGAAGGGCTTAGGCTGGGTCTGGGACTGAAATTCAAGCGGGGCCGGCGGCTGCAGCCTACCTGCAGCATGGCCTGGGGTGTGTTTTTTTCGTAAGGCCACGCCCCCGCCGCGTCGCTCGCTCCACCCCTCTCCTCGCCTGCCCCGCCCCGCCCCTCATCCAACCGCGCCACCTTTCACGTCTCCCGGACGCTGCTGGCTTCCAGCTGCCGGCTACCGCAGCCAGCGCCCTCTGCGGTCCCGGAGGTGCTAGGACAGCTGCAAACCTTGCGCCTCTAGTTTCTTCTCACCCACGCGCCTGCTCACCCCGTCCGACCGGTGCGGTACAAAGTGCTCTCTCCCACAGCCACCCTTGTGATATAAAAAAAGCAACACAGCAATTGCTCACGAGGCGCTCATGATGAGCTTTAGCTTTGTCATAGAACTTAACTTTCATTTTCTCAACTGTTCTACCAACTCTGCTTTCACTGCCCTCAGGTCGCCTCCGAACATGCTGAAATGCAGGCACGAGTGACCAGAGCGAATTAGTGCATGGCAGAGGTAGGGCTGGCGTCGGTTGATTGCAGACGCTCAGAACTGCTATAGTTTCTTTCAGATCTTTTCTGGGCATTTTCTATATATTGGGTAAGTGTTCCATTCCAGGAGAGGCCCCTGAGGGACACAGAAGTGAATGACTTACTTGCCTACCAGGCCCCTGAGGGACACAGAAGTGAATGACTTGCCTAAAATCACATAGCTATTCGGCTCTATCTGTGCTCTTTCCACGTTTTGGGGAAGTTTCCAGAAAACTATGTCCCTGGAGGCAATTCCAATATATTCCCTTGTCAACAGTAGTGAGTAGCGGTTTTATTCATATATTTTAAAATTTACTGGGACCAGCAGTTGGCGTAATGGCTATGTCGCTGGACTCCCATGTAGTCCACCATGGTTTGAGTCCTAGACCCCGTGGCTTAAACTCACACCAGGCACGTGTGTATGCGTGCCCAGGATCCCGGGAAGAGAATGGAGGAGAAAAAACTGTGGTATGGCCATCCCCCCTGGGGGGTGATTTCTTGCTTTTGGTCTCTGTCTCTGTCTTTCTGGCGAGTGCATGCATATAGCAAAAACCTCTCCGAAAAAAAAAAAAAATTTGCTGTGCTGTCAGGCAGTGAGATGGCGGGTGGGGGATAGGGGAGATATCTCCCAGGGGGGATGGCCATGCCGCAGTCGCGTCTCTTCCATTCTCTGGGGATTTGGGCCATGCAAGAACACACGCCTGCATACTTTTTAAGCCATAGGATCTGAGAGTTGAACCTCAGGGTCAGCCATGTGGGATCAGCCTATCCAAACATCATACCAATGGCTGGCCCCATGAGTAGCAATTTTAAACCCAGCAGATGGTGTAATGATACGTTGCTGGACTCCCACACAGTCGACTGCAGTTTGAGTCCTAGACCTGGCAGCCTGAAACTCACACCGAGCATGTGTGGATGCCTAAGATCCTGAGAGTATGGAGGAGAAAGGACTGTGGCATGGCCAGTCATCCCGGGGGGATTTCTCACTTTCTGTCTCTCTGTCTCTCTGTCTCTCAGTTGCAATGGTGCCATGGTAATTTAAGTGGTTGGATCCCATGTGTCAAATGACCCAGGCTAGTTGAAAAACACACCTGTGCATGCCCAAAATCCTGAAAGGAGAAAAGGAGGAGAGGTTATTGTGAGTGCAACAGGCCCCCGCCTAGCTAAGGATTAGGACCCTTGGTGACTCCTACTTTCAAAACTGGGCCCAGGGGTGTAATCAACATTTGAGGGGTTAAGGTTGATGGGACAATCCACCACTTATGTATGGAGACTTTAAAGAGTTCATGAGAAAATAGACAAATTAAAGTACAAATTTATTCTCATTCCCCCCAAAAAATCCATGCATAGTTTTTTGATCATATGAATTTCTCATTAACTTTAGGAAGACCCCTTATAGTTGGAGTAGAAGTGATGAGTGTGGAGAGAGGGGGAAGAAGAGGTTGGAAATGGCCTGAAGTCTCACTTCAGATGAGTACAGATGGTCCTTGACTTCAACTGAATGATTTTCAACTTTCTTTTAATTTTTATTTTATTTTATTTATTAGTATTATTTTTGTAATTTGAACAGAGAGAGAAGGGGGAAAGTGAGGTCAAAGACTTGAATCACAGTTGGCCACATGGGCGTCCAGAGCCTTAACCACCACGCCACCTGCTGGCCCCAGTGATTTTCAACTTCATGGTGGGCCACTGGGTTAAACCGCTGTTGTAAGAGGAGGAGCATCTGTAGGTATTGCAGGAGTGTTTGCAAGAATGTACTTTCTAAGTGATGGGGTAAATTCACAGAAATCCCCAACCACTGACTAGAAAACCATTATGTATAAAACCATTATAGAGACCAACAGTTGGCGTAATGGCTGCGTCGCTGGACTACCATGCAGTTGACTATGCTTCGAGTCCCAGACCCGGTGGCTTAAACTCACGCTGACTGTGTGTGTGTGTGTGTACTCAGGATCCCGAGAGGAGAATGGAGGAGAAGGGATTGCAGTGTGGCCATCCCCCCGGTGGGTGATTTCTCACTTTCTGTCTCTCTGTCTCTCTCTGTCTGGCAAGTGCATGCGCTCTATGGCAAAAGCTTCTCTAAAAGAAAAAAAAAAAACCACAGGTGTGAGTGTGTGCCTGCCCAAAATCCTGAGAGGAGGCTGGAGGAGAAGGGTTTCTGGAATGGCCTTCCTCCCTGGAGGGTGATCTCTCATTTCCACTCTCTCTCTCCAGTGTGCTCACATGCCCTTAAAAAAAAAATCCTCTCTTAGACCCAGCCTATTGTCTTGGCTGGTAGCAAACTGAACTGCAGTGTTGGAAGCCGCGCTGACGATCATGGGTTTAGATCCCTGGGTCAGCCTGAAAAACACACTGGGCATGTGCACGTGTGCCCAGGACCCCAAGGAGCTGGAGGGCCGGGGACAGGGGATGGCAGCAAGGCATCCCTTGAGGGTGCTCCTCTCTCTCTCTCTCTCTCTCTCTCTCTCCCTCTCTCTCCTGCTCTCACTCTCATGCGCCTGCACCCAGTCATGAATTTTAAAAAGAATCCTTTCTCAACCCCAAATCTCCCTCCGGCAGTGACCTCATTTCCCTGCTCCCTTTAAGTAAATCTCCTTTACTCGTTTAGTCTTACTGTGTCCAATTCCTTTTCTCCCATTCTCTTGTGAACACTCTTGAATGAGATTTTCACCTCAGTCATGTTACCAAAATGTCAAAAAACAACCTCTACAACATTGAACTCAGTGGTCAATTTTCAGTCCTCTTCATACTTACCCCTGGACGGTCCTGGGCAAAATTAGCTACTCCCAGGCCCGCAGGTTGGTGCGGTGGTTAAGGCATTGGGTCCACATGGATGACTCTGCTGTTTGAGTCCTGGACCTGGCAGCTTAAGAGACCAGCCAGGCACGTGTGCATGTGTGTCCAAAACCCCAGGAGGAGAATGGAGAAGGAATTAAGGTCTGGCTATCCCTTGGGGGGTGATTTCCCACCTTCTTACTTTCCCTATTTCCCTAACCCTCTCCAGGGAGTATACATGCTCTATAGCAAAAAGAAAAAAGAAAAAAAAATGTAAGAGACATTTTTGCTGTAGGGCGCATATGCTCACCAGAGACACAAAGATAGATATATATAGAGAAAGTGAGAAATCACACACCCCCTCCCGGAAGGGGTGGCCATGCCACAATCAATCCGTTTTTCTCCATTCTCTTCTCGGGATCTTGGGCATGCATGCACATGTGCCTGGTGTGTTTCGAGCCACTGGATCTGGGACTTGAACTGCAGCTGGCCACCTGAGAGTCTAGTGCCTCAACCACTATGCCACCTGCTGGCCCCGAGAGTGTAGGAAAGGAAATTTGAGGAAAAAAATAGAGAGGTAAGACATTTGTGGGTCACAGATATGGTGTATTATTTGTTGATGAGGACGTGTATACTATTCTCAACTGGGCTGGACTGAGGTGTATATTATGCTGGGTAAAGTCTCTTTATAATCTAAATGATGTATAGCAATTAAAGGTATAAATAATAATAAAATTTCAAAAACCTGTTGATTATGCCCTATCCTAGACACTATGGAAGATAGAAAGTTCAACAGGCAAAGTCTCTGCCTCTAAGGAGAATGTGCTCTTGGGACCAGCAGTTGGCGTAATGGCTATGTCGCTGGACTTCCATGTAGTCAACCGTGATTCAAGTCCCGGACCTGGTGACTTAAACTCACGCCAGACGCGTGTGTGTGCATGCCCAAGATCCTGAGAGGAGAATGGAGGAGAAGGGATTGCGGCGTGTCCATCCCCCCTGGGGGGTGATTTCTCACTTTCTGTCTCTCTGTCTCTCTCTGTCTTTCTGGCGAGCACACGTGCCCTATAGCAAAAACCTCCTCCCCCCAAAAATCAAAATAAATAAACAAATAAATAAGAGAATGTGCTCTTTTAGAGGGAGAAAAAAATGTATAAATGGAAAACTAAATTACAGTGGAAGGAACTAAAAACAAAACAAAAAAAAAGTGAAAAGAAAAAAAAACACAACACCCCATGTGAGGGCATGCAATGGCATGGAGGTTGGGGTGGCTGGATTCCCTCGTGGCCAACTGTGCATTTTGAAAACCACACTGGGCACGCATGCCCAAGAGGAGAATGGAGAAGGGACTGTGGCATGGGCATCCTCCCTAGGGGGTGCTTTCTCATGTTCCCTCTCTCTGCATCTCTGTCTCCCATTGCATGGCTTTACAGAGTGCACTCTGTCCATTTCCACAGCTGTGCATCTCCAGCCCAGACTCCTATCTTGAACTAGTCATATATCCAGTAGTTTACCCAGAGTCTTTGCAGGTGTGCTGAATAGAAATCTCGGATGTAATACGTCTTAATCCGAACATCTTTTTCTCCAAACCTACTCCATCCGTATTCTTCCCATCTCAGAAGAAGGTAACTCTATTCTTCCAGTTTCAGGTCTATGGGTGATAAAGTGAGGGTTGCTAGATAAATTACAAAATGCCCAGTTATATTTGAATGGGAGAAAAATAAGGCTTTGAGGCCTGCAAGTGGCATAGTGGTTAAG